ATATGGACCCCTGGTACATCAATTGCCCCATATGGCCAGGTACATTGATTTCATTATATGGATCCTTGGATATCAATTGATCCATATGGGCCATGTACATTGATTCCATTATATGGACCCCAGGTACATTAATTGCTCTATATGGGCCAGGTACATTGTTTCCACCATATGGACCCCAGGTACATCAATTGCTTCATATGGGCCAGGTACATTGATTCCACTATATGGAGCCCTGGTACGTCTATTGCTCCATATGGACCAGGTACATTGATTCCACTATATGGACCCCAGGTACATTAATTGCTCTATATGGGCCAGGTACATTGTTTCCACCATATGGACCCCAGGTACATCAATTGCTCCATATGGGCCAGGTACATTGATTCCACTATATGGAGCCCTGGTACATCAATTGCTCTATATGAGCCAGGTTCATTGATTCCACTATATGGACCCCTGGTACATCAAATTCTCCATATGGGCCATGTACATTGATTCCACTATATGGACCCCTGGATGTCAATTGCTCTATATGGACCAGGTACATTGGTTCCACTATATGGACCCCAGGTACATTAATTGCTCCATATGGATCAGGTACATTGATTCCACTATATGGACCCCAGGTACATCAAATTTCCCATATGGGCCAAGTACATTGATTCCACTATATGGACCACTGGTATATTAATTGCTCTATATGGACCAGGTACATTGATTCCACTATATGGACCCCAGGTACATCAAATTCACCATATGGGCCAGGTACATTGATTCCACTATATGGACCCCTGGATATCAATTGCTCCATATGGACCAGGTACATTGATTCCATTATATGGACCCCAGGTAAATTAATTGCTCCATATGGGCCAGGTACATTGATTCTACTATATGGACCCCAGGTACATCAATTGCTCCATATGGACCAAGTACATTGACTCTACTATATGGACCCCAGGTACATCAATTGCTTCATATGGACCAGGTACATTGATTCCACTATATGGACCCCAGGTACATCAATTGCTCCATATGGACTAGGTACATTGATTCTACTATATGGACCCCTGGTACATCAATTGCTCCATATGGACCAGGTACATTGACTCTACTATATGAGCCCCTGGTACATCAATTGCTCTATATGGACCAGGTACATTGATTCCATTATATGGACCCCAGGTAAATTAATTGCTCCATATGGGCCAGGTACATTGATTCTACTATATGGACCCCAGGTACATCAATTGCTCCATATGGACCAGGTACATTGACTCTACTATATGGGCCCCTGGTACATCAATTGCTCCATATGGACTAGGTACATTTACTCTACTATATGGACCCCAGGTACATCAATTGCTCCATATGAACCAGGTACATTGATTCCACTATATGGACCCCAGGTACATCAATTGCTCCATATGGACCAGGTACATTGATTCCACTATATGGACCCCTGGTATACTAATTGCTCTATATGGACCAGGTACATTGATTTCACTATATGGACCCCAGGTACATCAA